CCCGTCTGCCCCCGCCTGCTCCCCTCCTCCCTCCCAATCCCCTCCCCCCATCATAACCCAGATCCCTGCACACTCTCCTGCCCCAAGTCACAATCCCATCTCAGACCCTGCACCCTTTCCCCCACTGTCATAATCCTCTCCTGCACCTATACCCCCTCCTGGACGCTGCACCCTTTTCTGCAATCCAGCCTCCTGCTCCAGGTCACAGTCTCCTCCTTCCCACAAACTGCATCCCACCCACACCCCTGTACACCAGTCCCTTACCTCAAGCTCCCTTCGGCACCCAATCTCCACCACAGACCGCGCACCTCTTTCACAAATATCATTGAAGAGTACAGCCCTTGACTACTTACCAAATTCTTTTGAGTAGCCTCCCATCAAAAATTATTGCCCACCCCTGCTCCATGCTGCTCCATTTCTTTTGTGATTTGATTTTTGTTACCTATTTCCCACATCACGGATTAGCCTTGTTGAACTTCATACCCCAGTAAGAGTCCCTGCAATCAGAGCAGTAGCCCATATTAATGTTACCACGTGTAGGACTTCCCTGGAAATACTTACTTCATTGTGCCTTCTACCATCTGCTGCTGTGCTTTCAGTTCATGTCTCTAGTCTGTCATTTACATCTGCACAAAACTATTTCCCCTGCCATTTAACTGGCATCTAAAATATGTATGTGGATGCTGGATTTCCTGGTTCCTCTATCCATGTGAAATGCCTAGGTTTTACTGGGCTAAATGTCATTTTCACCTGCTTGGTTGCTTTCTAAGTCACAGATAACAGCGAGCGAGTATAGTCTTCTCTACTATTTGTTTAGTTATTGTTCCCTACAGTGTGTCATCTCTTGCAGCTACTAGCTAGGGCTTCGCTTCTTCTACCATTGGACCTTTATGTGGATTTCACCATTGTATTCCACGTTGCTACAAATAAAATGACTAACAACATATGGCCGGTTATGATCCTTTTATCCAAACTCTGCCATTTTGTGTATTTGTGACACACTGCAGATTTTGTGAAGATTGCTCCATAATATTTGTTTACCATCTGCTGCACTCTATTTGGTATCTTGCTAGGATTTTTTCCTCCATTTTAAGTGACATTAGCAAAATTCAGCCAGTACATAGGCTTTTTGGTTCTACTTTTGCTTCCCTAATGTGCTGGAAAATCATATTGTTGTGCTCTAGGCAAGTAGACAAGGTTGGAATTCTTCTCTTTGAATCAGTGCATCGTCAATAGCTAGTTTTGGGGCTATACCCAGTTATATTTTTTGGTAGGATAGCAAAAGAATCTCTGCACTTAACAAGAAAAATGTATTCTGATTAAACATATTAGCCTTATTGTTTTAGACTTGTCATCTCTTAGTACCATCTGTCGCTTATCATTGTGTTTGTATTTTTCCTGTACTCTTCATGCAACCAAAAGGAGTTTTCACAGATCTGAGTACAATACTCTGGAGCTGTTTTCATATCATTTGAATTGTTTTGATACATTATGATCCTGGAGATCCGAAGGTGTTTTTCTTATGGGCTTTAAAAAACAACGGAAGTGGGTTTTACCCACGAAAACTCATGAGATTGATTTTATATATATAAAATCAAAGCTAGGGATGTTTATTTTAGATTAATCGGCTAACCGAATAGTCGATGCAGTTTGCGGCGTCGATCAGGGGGCCTCTGCCTTTGGAATGTAGCAACAGCCCCGGCGCTACGCTTCAGAGGTGAAAATGCTGTGGGGAGCACGGGACCCATGGGGGACTACATTACTTGAGTCCTCTGCTGGCTCTGAGCTCCTTGCGGCATTTCAAAGTGGCAGCATTACATGGAGCCTGGGTCAGCAGAGGAGTCCCCAGCTGACCCTGGGCTCCACGCGGCACTACCTCTTTGAAACACCCCCCTACTTCTCCCCTCCCCACCCCCACTTGCTACCTCTTTCTGATAGAGGCAGCGGGGGCAGGGGAAAAGGGGAAGAGCGACTGGTTGACTACTGTGTCGACTAGCTGATGAGCAGTTGTTTATTGGATAATCGATGAGACGTTCACATCCCTAATATCTATAGCTGTATGTAATTTGTTAGTCTCTAAGATGCTACAGGACTACTCATTGTTTTAAAGTTACAGACTAACATGGCAACACCTGGGAGACTTTTCAGTGCGCTGTGTGAATTCATCAGTAACACTGGGGTGTTTCTAGCTTTAGTGGGGTTTTCCCCTTCGAGTCTGACTTGTTTATCAACTCTGGTCTTTCTCTTTTAAATGTGCTTTTTCCTCTTCTCTTTTTACTTCTGATCCCCTCTCTATTTACAGCACTTTCCTTGTGGTCAGTACTCTATAGCTTTCTTCAGTGTTTCTAATTCTCTTGCTCGAACAGTTTTGTTTTCAGCCAAATTGTAGTTTTACAAACCTTTCTTCCCTTTTCTGTCTCTTGTATGCTTTCAGGTAAAGAAACCTTCAGTTTCAAGTCATTAACTCTTCCAAATCTTTTCATGGTTCTTGACGTCCTACAGGTTGGTAGTTTTAGAAAGCATTTTTAGTAACTTGGCAATTTACCAGTTAAATTTCCAAGGCTACATCTACACTGCAGTGCTATTTTGAAATACCACTAGTATCCTAAAATAGCTATTTCCGCGTCTTTTGAGCGCACCAATTATTTTGAAATATAATGGGCTCGCTATTCCGACGCCCCTGTAAAACTCATTCCATGAGGAGTAAGGGACGTTTCAGAATAGCGATTTATTTTGAAATAAATGCTGTGTAGACAGCGCCAAATTGTGAAATAAGCTACGCAAAATTGCATAGCTTATTTTGAGCTATGGATGCCATGTAGATGCACCTCAAGTGACCTCAAGACTATTGCAGAAAGTAACTGTGCCATCCGCTTCTCCGCTCCAAGCCCTTTCCAGCGTCTTGTGATTCTACTCTGGTCAATTTATAAACTTTAGCTCTCCAAGTATTTTCAGTTACACACTTCTACACCGTTATTCCTTCCCCTCTGAGCTTTTTACTCTTTTTTGTTGTTGCTATGGCGTTTTCTGCTATAGATTTTCAAAAAGGAATGAACACATTCCTTTGCCCAACTAATTTACACCTGTTGCTGCACTAATGTGTGTAATTATGAGTAGAGGTTAATTTGAATCCAGGGAAATAGTCACATAATCTGTGTGAGGTTCTGGGCAAAGGCTGTGATTTTTTTTTTTTAAGGGGCTAAGTGAGGTGCTATCACCCATTAGCTTTCAATGAGATTTGAGTGCCTAGGTCTCTTTGACAATCCCAGCCCAAATGCACATGTCTTTGATTCACCCACAGCTTACAAATATACATGCATTAGAAGACTTACCTGGTGTTGCCCAGTTATCAGGTGGATTTGTATGTACTCAGCAGAGCTAAGGGATGTACTATTTATATTGCTGTACTATTTATATTGCGAATTAAGCCTGTACTGGCTGAAATAAATATGAACAGGGGAATCACACCCCTGAGTCATACTGTAGGCATAATAAAAGGAAAATCTAGTTTCCAAATCTGGGGAAACATAAATGAAGGAATATTGTGTCCTACTTGTACAAACTTCAGAAAGAAGAATGCTAAATTGTGACAGGCAAAAATGGGAAATCAATCCAATGAAAAAGTAAGTCAGTAAAAATTATATTTTGCTACAGATTGAGAGGGGGTTCTGATCTGTTTATTTGGTGACGTGTTCATCTCCCATCACAACGGTGTCTGAGTACTGCACAGTGAATGGAGATCAGAATCCTGCTTATGCCTTTGGAAAATTTATTCCAATGATAGATTTAAAATACATATATTTTAAAATTCCTTACTCTACATAAGCCTTTCTGAATCTTCTTGTTCTTTCCTCTGCCTCCAATACATAGCAGCATCTTCCCTTATGTCACAAGGTATTCAGTGCTGTGTGTATGGACATCTGCACCTTAGCTCTTATTGCATTGTACTATTTGGGAACCGCATGCTCTTTACTCCCACAGTTGCATTGTGCATAAATCCTCCTAGATGAACATGTATGCAAATTAAGTTTGGCACTCTAATTGTTGTGTGTTATTAACGATCATTCGCTGGTATAGTTGTTGTTGTTGGTTTTTAAGGCCACACTACTGTTGTTAGTAGGGTTGCCAGATGGTTCCCCAAAAAATACTGGACACGGGGTATTTTGGTCAAGCGCCAAAAAAAAAAAAAGCGTGCAGGATAATAAGTACTGCCACTCATCGCACCCCTTCTGACAGGTGATTGCACAGCAGTCTGGTGGGGGCGGGGGAGTCCCAGCCACTCCCCCTGCCAGGCTTCTGCGCAGTCACAGGCTCCTAGCGCTAATCGTGGTCCCACCTTCCAGCCGTTTCCCCTGCCCACGCCAGGTTTCCATCCTGTGCGCAGCCAGAAAAATCAGAGAATACCGGACATTGCACGTGTCCAGTATTCTCTGGGTTTTTTTACTGGACAAAGAGCGCAAATACCGGACTGTCCGGTAGAATACCCGACACCTGGCAACCCTAGGTTAGGCATGGTAGGCTATGTCTAGAGATATTCCGAAAAAACGTATTCCGAAAGAGCATCCACGCTACCAAAGTGCATCGAAAAAGCAATCTGCTTTTTCGACAGAGCGTCCATTCAGTATGGATGCTATCTCGTGTGTAAGCTGTGATTACTATGGGTGGAATGGCCACCAAAGCACCTGTGCTGCTTTTTTCTTTCCTCTTCTTTTGAAAGAACTCCCTCTTCCCTGTTCACACACACCTTTTTCCGAAAGAGCTCTTTTGGAAAAAAGCTTCTTCCTCGTAGAAAGAGGTTTACCAGTGTTGGGGAAACCCCTCAGTTCTTTCCATTTTTTTTTTCAAAAGAACGTAATTGCAGTGTGTACGTAATTGAAGTTTTTTCGGGAAAACCGCCATTTTTCCGGGAAAAACTCTGTAGTGTAGACATACCCGTAGAAACCTGAGTTTCCTGATAGACAGGTATCAGGAGGAAGAAGCATGACAGAGGGCAGATGAGCATGAGGAGAAAATTGCACGTAAGGACAGAAGGTTTTAGAATAAGGATGTACTGTAGTAGTAAAAAAACAGTTCAAGTTTTTGATATTATGGTTTTTTTCTTTCAACAAAACCAAATAAACTTAATTCCATATTGGGAGATGTAGACTCATTAAGAAACTAGTCAATTTTCACTTTGAGTTTACACTGTCACCAGAATGACTTAGTGGATTTGCATAACAAGTAATATACAGCGTGTAGACTGGAATTCCACAGGGAGATTCTGATAGCATCGTAAATTGTGAGAGCAAAGTTCCGAGTGCTTTGTTCTTGTCCTCTCTCTTAAAATGTAATCATAGCTTCTGTTTATGTGCATTTGGGATTGCTCTGGTACGTGTGGTAGAGAATGATCTTCTGTTCTTATTTTGTGCTCTTGGCTCTCAAGTCCTTCAGCTGCTTGGTCTTGATTTAGTCAGCTGTTTCTTCCACATCATATGTATAGGCCTTGGACAATGAAGATATCAACAGTCATTTCAAGATTCTGGGTTTCTTGTATACTTGGCTTGCATGTTCTGTTAATTTTCATTCATTTATAGAAGTTCCTTTGGTCAGGTACAGTAACAAGTATAATTGATTTATTAAAATCTGTAAATGACTTTTCACTTAACGAATGTCATACTTTTTTATCAGATGAAGATGAGGACGGTGATCGGATTACTGTTAGAAGTGATGAAGAAATGAAAGCTATGCTATCCTATGTAGGTATATTGTAACAAGTGGGGAATGTTGTCCATGCTTTTCAGTTTTCCCATGGTTTTGTTCATTATCTGCTTGTGTCAAAGTGTTAAAAACAAACTGCAACGATCATAATATATTCCTGTATAATGTGGAGGTGGTGGTTTTTTGTTTTTGTTTTGTTTTTTTGAAAATCACATGGAGTGGTGGGCATGCTTGACAGTTTTTAAAAGAGTTGTACACTTACTGATCATATGATGAACATTAAGAATAATGCATCTTAATGACTTTTGCATTAGGTATAGTGCAGGCTAAATGGACTATCAATTTCTTGTATTTTTTATGCAGTACTTAAAGTAACGGCTCATTAAAAATAAACCCCTGGGCTCTAAAATTTTTTCAAAATCTTCTTTCATCTGGAGACTATTTCACCCCTCCTCAAAGAAGAGTTACACTGTAGCTGCAGGCTCAATGTGCACAGAAGATTTAAATATGTATTTCTGTTTCTTATATGTACAGAAAACCCTAAAAACAGTAACTTATAGAATCTCAATTATTTCTAACTCATTTTTAGCTACATTTATCTTTCACGTAAATTTAGGTGAAAATTTCTATGTAACACTTGCTTTCAAATGAAATGCATCAACAGAAAATAACTAATACTTCTTTGGATCTTTTCTTTTAAGTGCTAACATCCACTTGTTTATTGTTTATTTCTTAATTTTGTTGCAAAATTAACTACTGTACAGCCATTCAAGTACAAGACATAAGGGCGGCCAGACTGGGTCAGACCAAAGGTCCATCCAGCCCAGTATTTTGTCTGCCCACAGTGGCCAATGCCAGGTGCCCCAGAGGGAATGAACAGAACAGGTGATCATCAGGTGATCCACCCCCTGTTGCCTGTTCCCAACTGCTGACAGCAAACGCTAGGGACACCATTCCTGTCCATCCTAGATAATAGTCATTGATGGACCTTTTTTTTTGAGCCCTCTTGAAGTCCTGATTTTCACAACATCCTCTGGCAAGGCGTTCCACAAGTTGTCTGCATTGTGTGAACAAATATTCCTTTTGTTTCTTTTAAACTTGCTACCTGTTAATTTCATTTGACATGACCCCTAGTCCTTGTGTTATGGGAACAAGTAAATAACTTTTCCTTGTTTACTTTCTCCACGAGTCATGATTTTATAGACTTCTATCATATTCCTCTTAGTCATCTCTTTTGCTAGATGAAAAGTCCCAGTCTTATTAATCACTCCTCATATGGTAGCTGTTCCATACCCCTAATAATTTTTGTTGCCTTTTGGAACTTTTTCCAATGCTAAGATATCTCTTTTGAGATACAATGACAACATCTGTACACAGTATTCAAGATGTGGGCATAACATGGATTTAAATCGAGGCAATAAGATATTCTCTGTCTTAATGATTCCTGACATTGTTTGCTTTTTTGACTACTGTTGCACATTGAACGGATATTTTCAGAGAATTATCCACAGTGATTCCAAGATCGCTCTCTCAAATGGTAACAGCTAGTCCCCATCTTTTTATACATATAGTTGAGATTTTGTTTTTCAATGTACATTACTTTGCATTAATCAGCATTAAAATTCCTACCTTTCTTTCCTTATCTCTTAACCAGTTATCAGTCCATGAGAGGATCTTTCTTCTTGTCCCATGACAGTTTACTTTGCTTAAGAGCCTTTGGTGAGAGGCTATCTGGAAATCTAAGTACACTGTATCCACTGGATCTCCTTTGTCCACATTTGTTGACCTGCTCAAAGAACTCCAGCTGGTTTGAAATTAATAGGCAGCAAGTTTAAAACAAACAAAAGGACGTTTTTCTTCACTCAGTGCACAGTCAACCTCAGGAACTCCTTGCCAGAGGATGTGGTAAAGGCTAGGAATTACAGGGTTCAAAAAGGGGCTAGATAGATTCATGGAGGTTGGGTCCATCAATGGCTATTAGCCAGGCTGGGTAGGAATGGTGTCTCCAGCCTCTGTTTCTCTGGAGGTGGGTGACAGGGGAGGGATCACATGAGGATTACCAGTTGTGTTCCCTCCCTCTGGAGCATCTGGTTTTGGCCAATGTCGGCTGACAGGATGCTGGCTAGATGGACCATTGGTCTGACCCAGTCTGGCCTTTGTTATATTTATTATGTTTTGTTACTGAATCCCCTTTGGTCTTCAGCCCTGGGTGATAGGGCTCAGGTTTCAGCTTCGATCCTAGGCCCCAGCAAGTCTAATGCCAGCCCTGGTGACCCCATTAAAACAGGGTCTGCACTAGTCACATTAAATATCAGTTAATTGAATATTCAAGTAACCTCATGAATTCTTATCAGTTAGTTGACTATTCTATAGTCCCTGGTGGCGGGGCTGGCAGCCAGTATGCTCCAACCCCACTCCCGAGGAGCCCCTGCCATTCTGCACAGCTGCCTTTGTATCAGAGGAAGCAGCGCATGGTGCCAGTCGGAAGCTGGTCCACAAGGGCAGCCAGTTTAAAAACCAGCTCCCATCGTGGACCGGCTGCCTGTCGCCCTTTACTGCTGCCTCTGATAAAGAGGGGTGGCAGCAGACTCTGTCTAGAGGGGTCTGAACTCCCGGACCCGGCATGAGCCGGAACTGAGCTGGGCTGCCTGCATTTAATACACTTTTAAATGTAGAGCTGCAGTGGTGGTAGGTCCCGGACTGGTTGCAAGCCAGAACTGAGCTGCGCTGCTGGTCAGCCTGCTAAAAAATTTACTGGCAAGGTGGAGAGGGGAAGTCTGTAGCATTAACCCATAAGCTTTTGCTTATGGGTTAATCAACCACAGTTTCTTAAGGGTCATGAGATGCTATAATGACCTATAAAAATGCTCATCTCAGCTAACATCTTCTCTTTTCCCCACAAGGACAGTTATTACCAACTTTGGAACTGAGAAACTCAAACAAAGACGTTTTCCTTTTAAAAACTCTCTCCAGCTAAAGAAAAAGAGGACACAGGATTTGCTAAAATGAAAACCATATCAAATACTTTATATTTTCAAATGCTTTTTCCTTTTCTTCTTTATCATGAATAAAAGCTTTAAAAGTTGTTTAATAATGCATTTGACATGGTATTAAGCAGGCTGAGGTGTCTCTGTATACCACTCCCTTGAACCTTGTTTAATATTGGACGCTGACTGGGTTGTATTAACACTTCTGGCACATATATTCCATCTGAATTAATACCTAAAGTTCTCGTCATTAGCGGTAGTTGTTTTTTTCATTGTGAACCTCAGAGAGGTCATCTTGCAGCCCTGCTTTCTTTCCTGCTCCTTCTAAGACCAGATTGGAGTGTGAGAAATTATATCCTCGGTCTTGTCACTTGTCATTAGCAGATGGTGATGTTCTGCTTTTTGGGGGAAGAAGTGCCTTCTGTGTCATAAACAGAGTGAATACTCGAATAATTTCACTTTTTATCTTTCATAAAACAGCTCAGTATGGTTGTACTCATGGCTAAAATGACTTGGAGTCCCTCTTCTTCATCTCTCATTTCATAGAATCATAGAATTCTAGAACTGGAAGGAACATGGAGAGTTCACCAAGTCCAGTCCCCGGCCCTCACAGCAGGACCAAGCACTGTCTAGACCATCCTCAACAGCTGTCTGTCTAACCTGCTCTTAAATATCTCCAGAGATGGAGATTCCAGAACCTCCTGCATTATTCCAGTGTTTAGCCACCCCGACAGGAAGTTTTTCCTAATGTCCAACCTAAACCTCCCTTGCTGCAATTTAAGCCCATTGCTTCTTGTCCAATCCTCAGAGGCCAAGGAAAACAATTTTTTTACTTCCTCCTTATTAACACCCTTTTAGATATTTGAAAACCGCTTTGATGTCTCCTCTCAGTCTTCTCTATTCTAAACTAAACAAGCCCAATTCTTTCAGTCTTCCCTCATAGCTCATATTTCCTAGACTTTTAATAATTTTTGTTGCTCTTCTCTGGACCTTCTCCAATTTCTCCACCTTTCTTGAAATGTGGTGCCCAGAACTGGACACAGTACTCTAATTGAGGCCTAATCAGCGCAGAGTAGAGCGGAAGAATGACTTCTCGTGTCTTGCTCACAACAGTCCTGTTAATGCATCCCAGAATCACATTTGCTTTTTTTGCAACAGTGTTACACTGTTGACTCACGTTTAACTTGTGGTCCACTATGACTCCTAGATCCCTTTCTGCAGTGCTCCTTCTTAGACAGTCACTTCCCATTCTTTATGTGTGGAATGGATTGCTCCTTTCTAAGTGGAGTACTTGCATTTGTCCGTATTAAACTTAATCCTGTTTACCTCAGACCATTTCTTTAATTTGCCTAGGTCATTTTGAATTTTGACTCTATCCTCCAAAGCACTTGCAACCCCTGCCATCTTGGTATCATCTGCAAAATTAATAATCATACTCTTTATGCCATCATCTAAATCATTGATGAAGTTATTGAACAGAACCGGTCCCAAAACAGACCCCTGTGGAGCCCCACTTGTTATGCCCTTCCAGCAGGATTGTGAACCGTTAATAACTACTCTCTGAGTACGGTTATCCAGCCTGTTATGCACCCACCTTATAGTAGCCCCATCTAAGTTTTATTTGCCTAGTTTATTGATAAGAATATCATGCGAGACCGTATCAAACGCCTTACTAAAGTCTAGGTATACCACATCCACCGCTTCTCCCTTATCACAAGACTCGTTATCCCATCAAAGAAAGCTATCAGATTGGTTTGACATGATTTATTCTTTACAAATCCATGCTGACTGTTCCCTATCACCTTGCCACCTTACAAGTGTTTACAGATGATTTCCTTAATTACTTGCTCCATTAATCTTCCACATGTTTGCAGATGAATTCCTTAATTACTTGCTCCATTATCTTCCCTGGCACAGAAATTAAACGGACTGGTCTGTAGTTTCCTGGGTTATTCTTATTTCCCTTTTTATAGATGGGCACTAGATTTGTCCTTTTCCAGTCTTCTGGAATCTCTCCTGACTTCCATCATAGTGTTCCTTTTTGACAGATT